AGCAACCTTGACTCATTCCTGCACACACACCCTTGGCACCGTGGCAACCACAGTGGCTGGCTGCTGCACAATGGCTTTTCTGGACACCCTGGGGATACCACCAGTACCACGGTGAACCCAGGTTGGTGATCTCCACTAGCCACAGGTCCCAATCTCCCAGGGATAGACGATACTCAAGGGTACCTTTGGCCACAGCACATCATCCAGGAAGAGAGAACTTGGCAACTAAGGTCCCAGACCAGCCTTCATGCCAAGGGGCGTAGGCCAGTGGGAGAGTCTCGAATCCACCATCCCCCGGAGACGTCAGGGGATCTGTTGCCACCGCACACTTCTTCTTCCAGTTCCCCAGACGAAGCTGTGGCAGGGACCTCCATGGCGGGGGCCCCCTCCAGTTGAACATAGCACAGTGGTTCCCAACGTATGTTCTGCATACTCCTGGGGCACTGCAGGGAGTCCAAGTAAAGTTTTTAAAAGTAAGAATTGGGCCCACCAGCTAGGCAAGAGAGGCATGTATGGTATGCAAACGCTTTCCCCATGCTCCCTTAGCTTCCAGAGAACGGGATCAAAAGCAAGTCGCATCCCAGCACACATGGCTGCTGCTCCCTCCCTTCATGCGCCCACAGTTCGGGCTTTGAGGAGCTTGGCAGCTCCAGAGCTCCCTCTGGCCACAGGAGTGGGCAGGGGAAGGAGGGGACAGGAATAGGAGCTGAAGTAGCAGCACAGGCAAACTGCAGGCAATGGGACCTGAGAAGCTCCATGCCCTGCAGTCTGCACCTCCCTCAGCCCACGCTGGAGCTGACAAGCTGTGACTGTGCTCTGGAGTCAGCTATTAGAGTGGCAGGAAGGGTTTAGTTGAGCTAGCAAAAATGGATCATTGGATCAATGCCTTTGGGAACCGGGAGACCATTGTGGAACACTGAGTTACACTTGAAAACAAACAAAAAGTATCATTGGATCAATGCCTTTGGGAATCAGGAGACCATTGTGGAACATTGAGTTACACTTGAAAACAAACAAAAAGAAAGGGAAAACGTGAAAATGTATACTTGGAGTTAGCGTTTACATGGACTGGCAATGAATCTGAACCATGTCCATTGTGCTTACTCTGTAAGGAGGTGCTGTCAAATGAGAGCTTAAAATCAGCTCATCTTTGATGTCACCTTGAATTGAAACATGGTGAATGTGTTTCTAAGCCAATTGAATTTTTGGAGAAAAAACTCAAAGAATTCAAGGAAGGTAAGAAATGAATCGGTCTTAGACACAGGCAGTGACAATGTTAAGGCAGTGGAAGCCTCTCTCGGGTGGCTCAAATCACAGCAAGCACAAGCCAGAACAGGAAAGCCATGCACAATTGGAGAGGAATTGATATTACCCACAGCAAAGGAGATTTTGAGTGCAATGCTCGGAGTCAAGGCTGTTCTCTGAGCAGATGGATTCAAAGCTGCATTCCCTTAAGGATTCCTGTGCAACCATGAAATCCTTGGGAGTGGATTTCCAAAGGCACCCTTTAGACCCCATGAACACAGTGAAAGCGCAACAGGAACAACCCCATCCCAACAGCTGAACCAGGGCAACAACTCTTCCAAAGCCCCTCCAGGCCCAAAATAGGGCTTTTGAAGATGTGCCCAAAGGCAGGGCATCAGGCCTACCCATTCCTTCCCATTTGTTTTTGGCTAGACTATCCCACTTCTGACGTGTGTGGACCAGCACGACCTTGGACCGTTGGGTCCTCCACGCAGTTGGAGTGGGATATTCCCTGCAGTTCGCCTCCCTGATCACCTTCTCATCCATCCCCTTCCCTTTTCAGGGATCTCTCTCACAAATATCTCCTATAACAGGAGGTCCAGTTGCTTCTCGAGCTGGGGGCAATCCAAGAAGTCTTCCCAAGGATAAGCGGAAAGGGGTTCTACTCCCATTATTTTCTAATACCAAAGGCAAAGGGGTATTTAAGACCAATCTTAGACTTGAGGAACCGGTATTTCATTGGTATTAGAAAATAAAGGCAAAAGGGTATTAAGACCAATCTTAGACTTGAGGAACCTCAACCACTATATGTGGAAAATGAAGTTCCGAATAGTCTCCCTGGCCACCATTAGCCCATGCCCGGTGACTGATTTGCTGCAATCAACATGAAGGATGCATAGTTCTACATATTGATCTTCCAGTGTCGCAGATGCTACCTCAGCTTCAGTGGCAAATGAACACTATCAGTTTGCAGTGCTCCCTTTTGGCCTTCCCATTGCCCCTTTTCCCCCATGTATTTACCAAGTTTGTGGCAGTGATCTTCCTCTGCAAGAATGGTGCCCAGGTCTTCCCCTACCTGCCCAATTGGTTAATGAAAGCAACCTCCCAGGCGTAGTCCCATGCCCACAGAAGATTGACGTTACAGCTTTTCCAGTTCCTGAGCATCCTCCTCAACAAGGATAAGTTGGTCTGAGTCAGGTGCAAAGAATAGAGTTCACTGGAGTGATTCTAGATTTGACTCAGGAAAGGGCGAGACTTCCAGAAGCTCCTTCTCAGGTGATACAGAACTTGGTACAGTCCCTCAGTCAGTACTCCACTACAACTGTTAGGATATGCCTCAGCCTGCTGAGTCACATGGCATCATGTAGCCATGTGCTCACATATGCATGACTATACCTTAGACTGCTCCAGGGGTGGCCTGCCTCAGGCTACGTGCCTATGCGGGACAGTCTGGACTCAGTGGTATCCATCCCACAAAGTGTGATAGCCACCCTCAGGGCTATGATTGTGATATTTTATATAAACAAGTGAGAGGGAGGGCGAGGTTGTCCTGCCTTTGCCTTGAAGGCCAAAGCTTTTGGCACGATTGTTGTGTAAAGCACAAGATCCATCTGGAGGCCTAGTATCTTCCAGGATTGCAGAACACATCGGCGGAGGCCCTCAGCAGGACCTTCATAGTCAGAGTGATCAGTCAGAATAGACGTGATATGCTCAGTCTGTCACAGATGGGGGCTCCCTATCTAGACCTGCTTGCCACACAAGAGAACAAGTGCAGGGACTTTTGTTCCTTCGACTCACTGTTGAGGTTCCACCGTGGATGCATTTGCACTCTTCATTGTGTGTGTAGTCTACTGTATACAGTCCATCTGCCCCCCCGGCTACAGTGGGGCTTACTCAAAGCCCGCAGGGACAAGGCATGCCTTTTTCTACTGGTGCTGGCATGACCACGCCAACATTAGTTCTTTACTCTCAATCTGTCAGTGGAGACAGAAATAGCCCTTCCCCTGTACCCAGACCTCCCAAATCAACAACAGGGGCGTTTCAGATACCCAGACCTGCACTCACTCCATCTCATGGCATGGAAGCTAGATGGCTCAATCTGTTAGAGCTTCAGTGCTTAGCCCAGGTTCAGAAAGTTCTCTTGGGAAGTAGATAGCCCTCCACTTTGGCAGCATACCTGACCAAGGTGGGGAGGTTTTCTACATGGTATGCAGAATGGGATCTCTCCCCCAAGAGGGCATCCATCCTGGTGGTATTGGATTACCTGTTGCATTTATGATCACAGGGCCTAGCTCCCTCCTCTGTCAAGGTTCACTAGCAGCTGTGTCCACTCTTCACCAGGGTGCTCCCAGTGTTCCCTGTTTGGTCACCCTATGGTAACCTGTTTTAGGAAAGGTTGGACGAGTTGTATCCCTATTCTCACATACCTGTACCCACATGGGACATTAATTTGATGCTCAATTCTCTCCCCTCCCCCAAACTGATGGCTGAGTGTTCATTGCTTCATCTTTCCATGAAGGTGGCCTTCCTGGTGGCCATCACTGCGGTGAGGAGGGCTTCTGAGCTGAGAACTCTTTCCTCAGAACCCCCATATACCCTATTCCACAGATGCAGCTCAGGCCCCACCCAGCCTTCTTACCAAAGGTAGTGTCTCAATTCCACCTGGGTCAAGATATCTTCTCCTGAGTTTTCTACCTGAAACTGCACTCTAGCATCAGGCTAAGGCTGCTTCACATGCTAGATGTGGGACGAGTTTTCTACGTGAAACGGCACTCTAGCATCAGGCAAAGGCTGCTTCACATGCTAGATGTGGGAAGGGCCTTAGCTTTCTACAATGATCTTACCAAACCATTCAGGAAATCCACACAACTGTTTGTGGTGGAATGGATGAAAGGGGATCTGGTTTCTGCACAGTGTATATCATCCTGGATAGTATGGTGCATACACACCTCTTATGATCTGGCACAGGGGTCACACCCCCACCAGTCATGGGCCACTTGACTAGAACACATGCCTCATCAACTATGTTTGTAGCACAGGTTCCCCTTCAAGAGATCTATAGGGCAGCTGTGTGGTCCTCTACACATGCATTTGCAGCTCACTACGCCATTGATAGGTTTTCTAGGTAGGCTGCAGCTGGCAGCTATAGGGCAGCCGTGTGGTCCTCTATAAATGCATTTGCAGCTCACTACGCCATTGATAGGTTTTCTAGGTAGGCTGCAGCTGGCAGTAGGGCAGTGCTCCAATCTGTGATTCCTAACTCTGACCTCACCTTCAGGGGGCAGCATCTTGGGAGTCACCTAATTAGAATCGACATGAACAAGCACTCTAAGAAGAAGAGACCTGTTCATGTAACTGATGTTTTTCAAAATATGTAGTTCACATTCATTCCAATACCCATCCTTCTTCCCCACTGTCGGAGTATCTGGCAACAAGGCGTTTTTCAAAATGTGTAGTTTACATTCATTCCAATACCCATCCTTCTTTCCCACTGTCGGAGTATCTGGCAACAAGGAACTGAGGGAGCGGTAGGGTCGACAGTGGTGTGTATATATATATATATACACGAATATAGCGGCACCACTCCAGGATTCTTCACAGCCAAACCTACGGGAGCTGCTAGAGGAAAAAAGTTTCCGATGCTCGTGCACGCAACATACATACATCTGATGGGAATCAATATGAACACCATATCTCAAAAAAACACCCGTTACAAGAACAGGTAACCGTCTTCTCCTCCAGGCACTGACATCACTCAGCACAATAGCCCCTCGTACATCTGGATTGTATGAATGCTTCCTGAATCATACAGAAAGGCACCAACCAATTTTCTCATACATCCCCAGCCTTGCAGCCCAGAACTGTCCTGTCTTGATCAGCAGCCTGACTACTGGCAGTTTAAGTTTATTACCCACTCTGCCCCTCCCTGGGGTGAGGACACACACATGCCCATGTAAACTGAGCTGAGATTTTTCCAACCACTTCATCCAAGACACACTGTTTTAGGTGACATATAAAACAAATTTATTACATATTTTAAGTGATTATAAGTGGTAGGCATAAAAAGGTCCAAGATTGTTACCAAAGGAATTAAAAGATAAGCACAGAGTCTAAATCTTAAACTTTATTATGTTAGGCAGTATTTGGATCAAGCATTTTTCTTATTCCACCAGATGTTTCAGTCCCTAATGTCCAGGCTTCTGCTTTTAAGCCTGGAATCAGTCTCTTTAGTTGAAGGCTTTGTCTTCTCAGCATTCTTCGTGTTTCCAGCATAGGTTGGGGAGGAGAAAGGCAAAAGCATGATGTCACTGTCTCCTACTTTATAGCCTCAGTCTGGGAAACACTAGCCCAGACACATTCCAGTGGGCTTTGCTGAGTCACAGGGTTGAGCAGTTCCCCTTTGTGTGTACTTCTCTTTCAGAATTATAAATCCCTTGTTTACAACTCCCTGGCTGCATAACGGGTATGGAGCACCGCACTTGTCAACACTAGAGAACTAGCAATAGTCTTTCAAACAAACATATTTCAGTAACAACCATGCAAGAAAATCTCAGCTTCATACACACTAATGATATACATATTTGGACAGAGCAATGGGTTGTAGCAGATCATGACTTTTCATATATCTTACATGGCATGCTTTGTATGCAATATCATAATTATACAAGAGGGATGAATATGGGGATTACAGGGTGTTGCTTTGAGGTACATAGTGCCACATATCCCCTATGTTTAATCTAGCAAAGAGAAGACAAACCCAATCTTTTCAATATTATGTCATATGTCTAGACATTTAACCATTTTTGTTGCAGCTCTTTGGACTTTCTCCAGTTTGCCCTCATCTTTTCTGCAAAAGTCTAGTTCTTGGCAGCCAGCACTAGACAAAATACTCCAGTTGAGGCCTAGTCAGCATGGAGTAGAGTGGAAGGAATACTTCTTGTGTATTGCTTACAAAACTTCTGCTAATATATCCCAGAATGAGATCTGTTTTCATATTTAGCTTGTGTTCCTCTATGTCCTCCCCCACTCCACTCTGATCCCTTTCTCCAGTACTCTGCCTTAGGCCAGGTGTACATTAGACCTTGAAAGTCAGTTTAAGGTATGCAACTCCAGCTACGTAGAATACATAGCTGGAGTTGGCTCACCTTAAGCTGAACTTGGCGCCATCCCCACTGTGGGAGGCCAACGGGAACAAACCCTCCCATCAGCTTCCCTTACCCCTCACAACTGTGAGGAGGACAGACACCAGCCGGAGCTGTCCTCAGAGTTTGATTTTTTGGGTCTGTACTAGACCAACTAAATCAAATGCCAGAATATTGATCTCCGGCACCACAAGTGAAGAAATGCCCTTAGGGAGTCATTTTCCATTTTGTATGTACGTAGCTGGTTGTTCCTTCCCAAGTGGAACACTTTGTATTTGTTCCCATGGAATTTTGTCACAGTTACCTCAGGCCATTTGATCAGATCATTTTGAATGTTCAATTATAGTCCCTAAATTACATGCACCCCTTCTCCCAGATGGGTATTATCTAAATCATTAATGAAGATATTGAACAGAACTGGACGCAGAATAGGGCCACCTAAGACACCATTCCCCCAATTACATCCCTGTGCTTATTGCAAAATACTGAGCAAAACAGTTCATCTTTGTTTGCTTCAATCCTTGCACCTGCAGAGAACACCTACAACATTTCCACAGTGGTCAGAAATCCTAAGAGGAAAGGTGCAAAGTATTATTGTGTTGATAAAATATTAAATTTGAATGAAAGGAGACACAATATTTTTGGAATCTTGACTATTCAGCCATTTCACCTCTCCCTGCATAGAGCAACAGTAGCTGATTACAGTGTGAGAAAGAAATCTGTTGGAACAAAATGGATAATGGATAGATGTGGCCTTACAAGAGAAATGGTAAAAAATATATATATTAACAAGATATATTTAATACATTTATGTCTAGTTTATCTATTTAGAAATCTTAACTAGTTGCCTTTGCATATGGAAGTCAACTACCTCATCTAGCTCATGTGAGAGGAAAGGTTCATCAGTTCTGTTACCATCTGGTGACAGATCTGAGACTGCTACCTTGACTTGTCACGCATCTCTGTAGAGTAACAATATTTATTTGGAAATAGTTATGATGTGGTCACATCAAGTCTATAATTTTCCTCCAGTTCATCCTTATAAAGAGAACTAATGTCTCAAACCAAAACAAAAGTTTCACAACTTTGTTCAAGGGGAAGAGAATATTACGTTCCAAATTTCAAGCTTTTGTTATCTATCATCTCCCCCTAGTTCTTACTACTATATAAGAAATTTTAAAATGGATTCAAATTGAAGTTACGGAAAGGCATGATTGAAAAAAACAATTCTTTAAAGTACTAATGTTATTCAGTACAGTATGAGATTTCTGTACAATAGCTATTGTAGAATCTTTGAGGGGACTAGGAGTATTGTATGCTGCAGCATTTATGCCAGTGTATTTTAATACATACAATGATGTTCTCCCATTCACACACATTACTGTAACTTCTAAACCTAACCAGGAAACTTACTTAGATATCAGTTGCACATGCTTTTTAGGTTTAGGCCTACATAAACGAATTCAAAATCCAAGCAAAATTCCACATCCACATTTTGGGAAATGATCACCAGCTTTTATGATGTACTGAACTAGTCCCCCCTCTCAAAACACCATGAACTTTGGGGTATTTGCCATCTGAATTTGAAAAATCTGGTTTATCTTTAATATTTTAATGAAACTTTACTGTGTTGGGGGCAAAATCTATTTTACATTGTTGTCACCTTAATAAAAACATGCCTACTAAAGCTGTAGAGCAGCATAAGGATGCAGTCTGAAAAAACATATTGCAATACCTTAAATACTGCTTATTTACTGAAAAAGTGTAACAGTACATGCAGCCTTATTCTTTGATTTATAAAGTTGGCCCAACATGTAGATATCAAATTCATTTTGATCAATTAATTCTGGTGAAAGAATATATATTAATCATACTTTAAATAAGAAATAAATGTTTAAAAACATTATCTGCCTACATAAAAATACAGCTCTGAGAACATGGCTATCAAAGACCACTAGATGTCAGCATAAAACATTAACATAAAAGCAGAAGCTTACTGGTTCTAATTATTGTATCTATTGCCTTGCAATCAAAATACATTACACTTCAATAAATAATTCTATTTTAAGTGTTATAGAAATAAATATGTTAATGAAAATTAACAAACACAATCTTATTTCAATTTTCTTTATTTTAGTTTAACTTAAATGACTGTGATTAAGTCAGTCTCATGATCAAAAGAGGGCCAAAGAATATCTCTCGATTGTAACATTTCAGTTTTTCTTACCATTTTTAGTCATGCATTGATATGGACTTCTCAGTTCAGAAAACAAGGCACTATAACTATATTTTTATCGGCTATGACAATACATCGATGATAAAATGTTCCTTTCATCTACGTACATCATTTGAATACAACATTGTTTTATGCAAATCAAATTCAAAACATCCAAGGCACATACTTTTTTTTTTTTTTCCTTTTTGTGTGTTTTGAAACTTCATAGAGTAAGGATTTACTATAACCATACTGTTCCAGATAAGTAGCACTGAACAATGTTTTGTTGTGGTCTTGGATATAAAACTGTGAAGACTGTGAAATGCAGAAACATGTTACAAGAACAGGAGGAAAAACCCCTAATATAATGTGGATAATATAAATTATTAAATATTCTGCTGTCAGAAAACTATCTTGTTTCTCACATAGCATTAACAATTTCACAGCATGCTATAGATGTGTATCAAACAACTATTTTTGTTAATTTAATTATTTATTGACCTGTTTACTTACAAATAAAGATATTCGGTTAATTGAATTATTAAAATTCCTGAAATAAAACAAAGCTATTGATATTAGAAAAATAGGTAGGAAAAACAGAAAACAAATCCAAAAAATTAGAAGAAATAGAAACACCCAGGGGAAAAAAAAGACATTAGCTATAAAACAAAATGACTGTGGTTAAAATATTCATTTCAATACCTAAAAAAAAAAATCATCTACTTAATTCAAAAATGTGAAGCCCAATTTATCCAAAGTACCATCTAGTAGAGTCTTTATCATCAGAGGCCTGAACTCTGGATAAGGATCTTCACTCTTTGTAATGCTGCTCTCTCCTACAAAAACTGTTAGGATTTCAGGAGATTGCTAAGCAGTCCAACAATTCAAACATCTTGCACACTCAGTTACACTTATTTGATAACACCAAAGTCAAGATTGACTTAAAGTCCAAAGAAACCCATCAGCTGCAATCACTTCCAAGCAAAAAAATAAAAAAACCTTCTTCAAATCTTATATGTGATTCTGAAATTCAAAAGTGAAATAGGTTTCAGCATTAAAAAATTTTTTAACGAAGAAATATAAATTAAAGCAAACTTTTTTTTTCTTAACATTTGATAAACATTTTCTTTCTAGTTATATGGAGCTAAAGTAGTTCATGCTGTTTCAATAGGTTTACATTAGATTGTAAGTTTGGCAACTTTTTCCTCTAACAAAAATTCAGACAGCTTTCACTGCTTGCAATCAGAACCACAACCTTAGTGCAATATTATATTTATTTCTTACAGGAATTTTGGTTGCCATACAAGAGTATTAAGGATCGGGGAAAGTGCAAGTTACAAGAGCTTGATTTTTAATCAATTCAAAATAAGAGGAATTAAAGCACAAAAATTACAGCAACAGATAACGTGAACACAAGTTGTTACACAAACTATATTGAAAAACATTAATATCTAGAAAAGAAAAAATGTAATGGGAAAATTATCCATATTTGTGGCTTACACACATAATCATTGCCAGATCAACTGGGTAATGCTTGTTTGTTTAAGAACTCAGAAAAATCACCATTTTTTTTAGTAAATTAAGTACCACAAATAATTAGCGTTTGTGATATGTAAATTCTGTAAATCAACAGTCACATCTAGTCATTTTATAATATATGAATTAAACTTAAAATGTTCCCAGACACTCAGGGAAAAAGGAGTCTTCAGTTATACACAATTTACATCTTGTGTGATTTTGGTATTGTATACACAAATATTACAGAAACTAGGCATGTAAATGCAATTTATTTAAATTACAGTATATAAACAAAAGTTGATCCTAAAACCTGGAATATAGTAGCATGTTTCATATATCTCAAACACTTTGTTCTCCACTGTCATAGTAGCATGAAATAACAGGGCCTTGTCCCCACCCCAATGCTTCCAAAACTGATGAAAATACTAGGCATATCTGTTACTATTGCTTTCTGTAGCAAAGTCATCAAATAGAGCTAGAGACCAATTCATCTTGGCAAAGGTGTATTTTATTGGTAAAAGAAGGTCCCTTCAGGCCCTCTAGATCATAAGACACAATGTAAAAATAAACTATTTCATTAGCTCTTCAGTGTTTTTAATCTCTGTTCTACTATTATACTGTACCTATTCTTTAAGTGCCTGAAAGGATACATAAGCAAGAAACACTTGTTTAAGAAAGGGATTACCATCAGCTGTAATTTACTTGTGTATGTCAGCACTCATTAAACCTAAGTTCAACAATAAGGTTGTGATTAAAAAGCAGTTTAAAAGTAATCTTCTACATTTTCTTTGTCTACCGTATTATCTAACATTTTCTGGCACATAGTATAGAGGTAATACCAACTGTTGTCAAAGAAACAAAAAGGAGCATGGTGTTAGTGGTTTATTTACTGAATTCTGTAATATCACCAAATGGAAGACAATGATGGCTGAATTACCATTTTTACACTTTTTAAAGTATTTAATGACCTTAAGGTGCCATTATTGAATATCTGAATGAAAATGTCATTCTCTACAACAATAGCCATGTAACTATGGAAAAACTCAGTACTCTTGAAAGTAAAATGCCTCAATACTTGATTTTTATTACAAGGTTACTTGGAACTTTCAAATACAAATATAGACCTGCAAAGGGTGTAGTAACAGATGTTAAGTCAAAAGACTTGTTGTTCCATAAAGGGGGCAGGAGGTTGAATAGTTGCTTTACTAATGCAGTGTTAATTGTGTAACCACTTTTGAAGAAGTATTCATCCTCCTTTGAAGAAGTTCTAGGAAAAATAGAAAATATAACACAGCTCTGCTGGTTCAGATGCATCCAAATGAGGTTGATTTAAAAAGGTCAAGACTTATTATTCCACAGAAATAGTATTAAACCACAAAAGTTTTTTTTGTTTAGTTTTTTTTCTTTAGTTTTTAACATTCTAGCACTGAAGTGGCACAAAGGCTGCCCAGTAGACCAGCCACTTATTTTCTTAAAATATTGTGCTTATAAACTATCTGTACAACTATTTAAACTTGCAGTAAAGAAAGGTATTTAAATTGCTAAACTTTATGTACTTGTTCTAGGGCTGTTCAGACCTAATTAGACACTTGATTGTGACCAAAAAAAATTATAATTAGAGATCGGCTGGACCAATAGCAAGGGTGAAAACGTCAGGAATCTTCCAAAAGGTGGGAGAACCCGATGGTACAGTAGGGTGAGTCTCTGGCTGTCAATACAACATATGCGTGCCTGGAATAGGTTGAATATTATATTCAGAAAGTAAGACCCACAAAACTCCTACAGAAATTAATAGAGGTGTTACTGACAAAAGGGGTCAGACACAGAGAGAAAATTGTTAACTTTTTTTAAAAGCCAAAGCTGTGTATCCCTAGGACACACTCAGAGTGCAGAACCAGTCAACCCCAAATTGGCCCATCGCTTCTAATGCTGATCTCTCTCTGGATCCTGCTACTAATTTCTGAATAAAGAAGTCACTAGAGAGTGATGGGACGTCTCCAGCTTCTGCTGAGGGGGTGTTAATACTTCCACCAACAGACCTAGCCAGGAAAGGAGGAACCAAGTCTATAATCTGGATCCCTCTGTTATCCTGGCCCACTGAAACACTTGCACGTTCCCTCCCTACTGTTCAAAAAATATTTACCTGCTGAGACATTTTTATTTCTAGCGAGCCCCTGTCCCATTCCCAATGAAGTTAATAGCAACAATCCTACCAATATCCATGGAAGCAATTTCCTGTTTTAAATCCCATGTTGTTGTTGTTTTTAGAGTTGTTGAACACTTGCAACTTAACGAATAAAGCAAGATCTGTGGGGGGAGGATCTGACTATAAAAGTCTAAAAGACACACAAGGGCATAGTATATCCAACACAATTCACAACCACATTTTCATCTGTTCATATAATATGTGTTGGGCCTCATTAGCAGTTTATCTGCAAAATGGGGGTGTCTGGTTCTAACTAGCCTCATTTTGTTGCATCAGTGATAATTATCTTCCAGTTTATATATAGTTTCCACATTCTACATATCAGGTCAGTACAGAATGTTTTAAACCTGTTCTGCTAACTTGGAAGTGTGCTAAATATAAATGCAGAAATAAAGAAATGCCTAAGTAAAGCAGAACAGTTACATTTAAACAAGTCCTGGGGATACACAGGTTTGTTGGCTGCTTCAATGCTAACAAACCAAATATCTACACTAGATCAAAGTGACATTGTGAAAGAGGGAGTGAAGTTGTGCATCTGCTATTCACCAACACCTGGTAATAACGGTAAAGCATCTGAGCATCTATATTAAAAAAAAAAAAGCTAGAAAAGGAAAAAATACTGAGATTCCATGATAAGAGTGTCAGGAATTGACAGCCCCAAATGGTAGAGGACAGGTGTATACAAAATAGGGTGCTCAGAAATAAAGTACTTGCGGTTTTAAACCAGAAGAAAAATGACATATTTTGGTCCACCCGAAGGTCCTCATTCATGGATAGGTAATATTTCAAAGTTAACAATGATCTCTCTTCTCTGTCTCTACCCCCACACTCACCATCACCCCTATCTTTGAAATAAACTAGCTCCATTAATGTCATTTACTGAAATTTAAGCTTGGGCACTAAACATATAGTCTGCAAAACTGAGTGCCAGCTACTAAATTAAACCTTGTCTTCTTTTGCTGACACTCACAGACAGCCAAGACATTTGGAATATTTCAGTACCAGCCCATCTCTATTTATAACAGAAGTTTGAGAGGCAAGAGTAGCCATTTTTATCTGTCCAGGAGCTGTTTCAAAGCTCTTTCTATGTTCATTCTGTGCCCAACTCTAGTCACTCCAAGGTCTATCAAGTCTTCCTTCTGAAGGTTTGGTAAATGGGTGCCATCTATTTCATTGTCCATGAAGGTCTCTTTATGTTCACCTAAGTTTAGACTTTCCAGCCAATCTGCCACATCTGGTTTAGTCCACAGGTGGACAGGCTTAGTTGTAAAAGGCTTATTTGAGATTGGCTGTTGCAATATTGATGGAGAAGGAGACCGGCTGCGTCCCGTGTTCAAGCCAAATAAGTCTCCAGAAGGAGGCTGGCTAGGTAGGCTAAATACATCTGACAGAGTTGGAGAAGGAGATGAAGCTGAAGCAGCAGCAGTCAGAGGAACAGGCATGATGTCTTTGTTAATTTCTGTTGGTGAAACCACAGGGCTCGGAGCATGTCTTACTCCTGTTGTCCTACTGTCATAGTCTGGAGACCTGCTCTGCAATGTGATGGGCTGGCTTGTTCCAGGCCGGACCGTAAAAGTGATAGTTGTACTTCGTGTACCTGAGACAGTACTCATGACTTCTGTGCTCCTGAAATTACAGATAGAAAACACCCAGAAATATCAGCAATGGAATTAAGGGCTTTTCTTAGCAACAAGAGAAAAAAGTGGCTTTGGAGTAACAAAAATGAAGTTTTGTTTGGTTGGTTTGTTTTTAATTTTTGACAGGTTTCACAAATGAATGTCATTTTTGTTGTAAGGACAGGTTAGGACACAAGCACCAAGAAGTTACCATGGTTCTTTCCCACAAAACAAACCCAACTATCTATGATCAATGGTAAGCCATAATGCCGTAAGCAAAAACCTATGAGTGGTTTAAAAATATCTAGAGAACATGTTAAACCATGGAGACTGTAAATTAATTTAAAATTAAATGAGAAACTTAATGTTATAAAACCCCAGGGGTTTTTGGGGTAAGAGTTCTAGATATGTTAACTATGTCATGAAGTTCAGATCTGAATTTGGACATCCCTCAATACTAGCAGCGACTGGATTTGTAATTTTAATTTGGTCCTCTCTCTGATAAAGTGAGGATTTAAATTTATGTAGCTAAAAAGGCAGAACTTTAATCTGAAACTACTTACTCTGAAGCATGTTATTTACTTGACTTTGAACTTAAACAAATCACATTCTGAGTTAAATTTAGCATCTGTTTTTATTCCTATTCATTGATATAACAACCTTCCTGAAAATCTTCCAGTGATCTCTGCAGAGACCTCTTGGAGAGAGAAAGTACATTTAGTCTTTAAGTGCCCATTGGAACCTTTTGCTGACATTGCTTAACGAAGGTGCCAATAACTTATATGGATATAGGTACATTGTGAAGTGGACTGGGATCACAATCCTTTTGCGGAAATTATGACTTTTGTTTACTTTTAATAACAACTGCTGACCCAGACAAGATTTGAACTAGCAAACTACTGGTAAAAAGCTCCATATCCCTTTACCAATCCCTCATGCTTTCTGGTTACCAATTTTTTTGGAAAATTTGCTTGCAATATTTTTTTGTCAACCAACAGACAAGCCATTGTAAGCGTATCAAAAGTTCCAACCAACAGCCAGCTAAATTTTTGTTTTAACAGTCAAGTTCTTTACCCCCATTATGCTGCCACATTTGTTTTCCCTCATCAGATCTATTCCCATGGCAAATGATTACTTTTCCATTTATAATTAGATGGTCAAAGTGGGCATCTCAGGCCTTAAAATCTATTATTCTATTTTCCTTTTCATTAAATTTGCAAATAAAACAGGCTTTCGGTTTTAGTTTATTTGGCACAGTGCCAGTTACTACATGCCAATTTTGTTAAGATGCTGGGGGCCTTCAATCCCTCAGCATCTATATTTTCAACTATAAGGAAAATTGAGGGTGCTCAGAGTTTGGCAGATAAGTCACTTGAATAACAAGTGTCTAATAAAAATATGGTCTGCCTATTATTTTTGTGAATAATGCTGGAAAGTTTGTGTCCTCGAAAATGGTTTAAATCAAGTGTTAAGTGATGCAGTTACATATGTATACAATCTAGCTATGATGAAAGTTGTTACATTTAATATGATTGTGTTTCATCAACTAGTATTCAACAGGTCTATTAGTTTTGAGCCAATAGTTCGTACAGACATTAAAAACAAACAAGCCTGTACTATTTGAATTATATTCACTGTGATGAAGTGAAATGTCAGATAAATTGGAGTAACACAATATACCAATTCTTACCCTCTGATTATTCAGGGCCTGATCCTGTAAAGCCTTACTTTTTGGCTAATTTCTGTGCATATAAGCAGTACCGCTGATTTCACACACATTATTTCGCAGGTTCAAAGAGAACAGGTAGACTCTTTTAAGGCTTGCAGGGTCACTTCTTTAGTTATTCCAAAAGCACCGTAGGAGCAATAGTTTCCAAATTTAGCTATTATTGCACAGCACTGTAATTTCACCAAGAAAGGTAAAAAATTGCATGGTTTTCACTACCTCCTCCTGGGTTGCTCAGAGCCTAATGGCTCTCAGCATCTTGCAGGATTGGGCCCCAACCAACAGCACGTGCAGACTGTAAGGTGTATGTAGTAAGAAATTATTTAAAAAAAAAATCAATAAGCCAAGAGAATATTAACTTAGAACTAAGTGGCTACTCTCAAATTCCTGAATAAAGTTAGACACCATTTGAACATGATAATTTTGCTTTAAAAAAAAAAAGAGGACTTTATGGCTATAATTTATATAAAAAACCTGCCCCACTTGCACATAAAAAACTCTCCCTGTCTTCATCTCCTGTGTGTCTTTGATTTAACTTTCCTATACTATTGTAAAAAAAAAATCATGTTTTGATTATTAATCCATGTTCATTTCAGTAATGCAGAGGGACCAAATAAGTAAGGTTTCCCATTGTGCTAGGCACTGATATAACACTGCTATGCAACAGGAAAATAGCTGATAACTCTGGTTTTAATCTCTATCTTCCACTTCAAAATTTACTGTCACTGCTCATAAATGACTGCTGTAATGGACTCAAAGTATATATTCCAAAAATCACCATTATTGTACCTTTTTCATGGAAACTACATTATGCCTATAACAAAGGTTAACAGATACCCTAATCATAAATATTATTTACACTATTTCTGTGGTATTTTCTGATAGATGGGGCAAAGCTATTTTAGTTGATTAATAAAAAATTAGCAGCTCTATTTCAAACATTCCAAGAAACTCAGAAACACTACACTAACGCTAATGAATTTAACTTTATAATTGCAAACCTCCACTGAAGTAGGTGTTATCATCATTGTACCCATGCGATAACAGACACAGAAGTTGTGTGACTCACCCAAGGTCACAAGTGGTCTGTGGCAAAGAAATAGAACCCTCCCTACTACCTACTCTGATGCCTGAAATCACGAGACCCTCCTTGGGCTGTCCTTACATGCCATGCCAGTCCTTGCCTCACAACATGTGCTGTACACAAATCTATACGACTTCTTCAGCACACTCAGTGTCATAAAGGCTGTCCTTACATGCCATGCCAATCCTTGCCTCACATGTGCTGTACAGAAATCTATATGACTTCTTCAGCACACTCAGTGTCATAACATAAAACCATCTTACATTTGTTTAAGAAAAAAATTGCAAGTAACTGCCAATCTGCCTATGTTTTGTTATTTCTTTTCTATGGCTGCTACTCTAGACTTTCTGAATTACTTTTTCATTTCTTTAAGTTTCATGTGTTAGTTTTTTTTACTGTTGTGTGGCTCATCGTTATAATAGGAAGATCAGCAAAATGGTAGCTAGTGGATTCATGTAAATTGTAGTTGGTGACTACAAATTGTGTGTTTGATCATACTATAGTAGTGATTCCAATGTTCTGCTGCATAAAACCAAATTCCTTAATAAATTACAGACTGAACTCTCTCCCTTCTCTACTTCCATTAAAAAAGGTGAAGAACATGATGACTATGTTACATTAATCCGGCCCTGTTAAGAATTAGCACATGGTAGTATTTTGATGTGGACATTCACTTGTGTGTATCTGCACTAGTTGAAATGCATATTACGCTGTCTCTTATTACATCATAGTATATAAATACTGTGTCACAACGGTGTATTTCCAAAGTGTAAAAACAATGCATGTGGCATGCAAACAAGAAAATCTTACTAGCTAATTCTGAATCATATCTGGTTTATTTAAGAACACTGCTATATTTTTAATTTAAAAAAGAGATTCAGTGACAGACACCATGGTGCAATATATGGCTCCGTTGCGGGAAGTGGGGAGAAACATCCCGGCATTATGCTCTCATCAGAGTTATTTTTATATTGTGACTTGCCTAAAGGCTGGCTATCTATGACAAAGCTCTTTCACCTTATTTTAGAAAAACAAGTCTTAGCAAAAGAAAGAGCCAATAAATATATAAATAGCAATAGAGAATAAAATAAGGTTATTCAAGCCCTGACTTGTGGAAACAAAAAGTTTCTTGAATCACAAATGTTTGTACAGTATTTTACTTCAGTTCAGCACAACAGAGAAACAGAAAAGCTGGTTGCTAGAACTGTGATGCCCAACCTGTTCTGAAGCAGTAGCCACTATAGTGACTATTGCTATAACGAACTAGCCACACTCAACCGGCCAAATAGCCACATGTGGCTAGTGTGTAGGACACCCCGGTGCTAGACTCTGTTAGCTAGAGAGAGATCAGAAGAGGCCCTTGGTTGTCCTTATGAGGTGGTTTATGGTGGGAAAGAATTGAGGCAGAATCAGGAATTCTGGTTCAGGGGCAGATGAATGTAAGGGATGATGTGTGGGTTGGTAGGGAACAGAACATTTTGCTGAGTAGTTAGTTCAATGCCAGCTGAGAAAGACTGGGAAATGGTCTGCGAAGGGAGGTCTCTGTTCGTGGTTTCAGTGGGAGCATTAGAGGTTTCTGTGTGTCTGGGATAAAAGTGTCAATGGTATTGGAGAGAGCCTCAGGAAGTCTCTGAATGGAGGAGTGTTCTTCGAGGCTAGAGAAAGGGAATCTGATAGAGGGAAGAGGGCCTGCTGCAGCAGGAGCTATGATGTTGGAGAGAGTCTCAGGAAGTCTCTGCATGGAGGAGTGTTCTTCGAGGCTAGAGAAAGGGAATCTGATAGAGGGAAGAGGGCCTGCTGCAGCAGGAGCAGGCAATTTTCACATGACTAACAAAAAGACAGGAAAATGGAAGCAGACAAAGTATGAAGGAGAAAGAATCACATGTACAAGTACAGAGCAAGTAGTGGAGTTGTGTCTGGGAGCCTGGCTGGACCGCCTGCATAACTTATAGAAACTGATAATGTGCCTGTAGTTTGTCTTAGAATTAAACAAAATCAGATGCAACTTTATTCTATCAAAATGGGCAAGTATCAATGACATTTATCTCTGGCCAAATAGCTCATTTATCACCGGATTTATTTAGCTAGTCCAATAAGGAAGCAGACCAATGTGAAAATGATAAAGTAAAACTTGTTGAATCATCATCTGGGATCAATGTAGCAAATGGGTCTTACTGTTGGACTATCCTGTGCTCTCCCC